AACCGTGGATCTTCCCTGTGTCTTTCTAACATTGTGCGACAAAAAGCAACTCGGGGCTCATAATCCCGGGCAGAAGAGCTTGAACACGCTGTATGTGGTATAGATGGAGCACGTTTTTTTTGCAAGATTCTATGGGCTGTACTTTTGAGCACAACTGTTTTTAGTTCGATTGCACGCACTGAAGTACTCGGGTCTTCTTCGACAGCTAGTAGCACCACGTCTTCGTAAGGAAGGAAAGATCTTCCCTCACCGTGTGATTGGTTTGGTAGTTGGCCCTCTGAGAACAGTAAGCGGTGCACATTTGTGAACACTCGATGATCTGGATGACGAGCTGCATTCGGGTACCTCTCACAGTAAAGTCTCGCTGCAGCACTAGCGTTACATCTGCATTCCCCATAAATGAGGTGCATGTTAGCATATTCTTGTACGGTGTACAGGGACATAGTGGCACTGCTCAATAACACTATCAAAGATAGTCTAAGGAAAGCAAATGTTGTGTTGAAGAGCAATTAAACAGTCCAAATCCAAATCACAAGCGATCAACAGTCCAGTTCACGAATCCAAAATTAGTAACAGTACGAAATCAACAAACACGAAGATGTAAAGATGCGCAGTAAACGAAGGAGTACTGATCGGTATCATACAGCGTGTTCAACCTCTCCTGCCCCGGAATTATGAGCCCCGAGTTGCTTTTTGTCGCACAATGTTAGAAAGACACAGGAAAGATCCACAGTCCTTTGAAAAAATTTTATGGTCGGATGAGACCACATTTAAGAAAGATGGGTACATGAACCTGCATAACTTACACGAGTGGCACGTAGCAAACCCACATTTGATGAGAGAAGATAAATCTCAATATCGCTTCAAGATAAACCATTAGACAGGAATTTTAAATGGTAAAATAATCGGTCCGTTTGTTCCCAGAGACTTTGACTGCTGAAGTTTATTTGGATTTTTCGAAAAATCATGTACAAAATTTATTGGTGGACGTGCCACTGAGTATTTACAGCGACATGTGGTTTCAGCATGATGGCTGCCCAGCACACTATGCACTCTCAGTGAGAGAGTATCTCGATCTAAACTTTCCAGGCAGATGGATAGGGCGGTCTGGTACAATACCGTGGCCAGCCCGGTCACCAGATTTGAATCCGTTAGATTTTTTTTACTGGGAAACTGTAAAAGAGAAAGTGTATTTCAAGCCGATTCAAAATGAAGCTGAGCTACGGCAAAGACTATTGGAAGCAGCTGAGTTTGTTAATAACCGTGGATTCGCTCGTTTAATAACCCGATCTTTTTTAAGATGTCGAGCGTGTATTGCGGCTGAAGGAAAACAGTTTGAGCATTTGCTGTAAAGGTAAATCATCATCAGCAGCAGTTTGACGCTCACTGTTGTGCAAACAGTAATCCTTAAGGGTCCTTGTGCATTTTCATAATCGCTGTTTAATTAGGAAATTTTGAAAAATTTTCATCAGTTTTTTTTCAAATAAAAATTGTGCATAAGTTAACGAGTAATCTTCTAAGTGTTATAGCATTATATTATATAGCAATCGTTATTAAATGCGCCAACTTTTAAGGTTACTTGCCAAACTCTCGTAGTACATTTTTTTCCAGTACAGCCAGTTAAAGTTGAGCAATGTTTTACTTTGGAATACTTTGTTGGGAAATAAGTGGCAATTTTTCCTGAACGAGAAAAGTTGGCAGTAAGGTTGAGACACCAGTTTGAAGATGCATTATTCATCATTACATTGTAAAAATAAAATCCAAAAAAAGTTAATATTTGTAGTAACAGACTGCCGTAGGGTGTGAAATTTCTATATCTTTTTCAAAGACCTATAATTTTCAAAACACATACATAAATTTTTTTTTAATATTTTTCTGATAGCTGTTATGACTTTGCCTATCACCCGGTTTCGGCTTGACGTCGACTTCTGGGACACCCTGTATACATTATCCCTGCATCGCCAGCTTGTAAGACCTGCATATTAGAAATTATCCGATTTCGTTCCGTGTTAAGATTTACAACATGCAGTAGATGAAAAATTCCCCTTCGGGAAGCACGGCACTGACCGAGGCAGTATTACAAAGAGATCAGGTGAAGTTCTCCGGCAAATTCGTGACTAACTCGGACCGTTGTCGCTTGTAACTTTCGGATACCGACGCGATTTCTGGGTCGCGCAACTTTCTAAACAGGAAACAAACAAAACAAATAACTACAATGCCCCAGACAGACAAGCCTGATTGAGTTAAGACGTCGGAATGGACCCGAATTGCCAGATTAAAGGGCGAATCATAAAGGTAAACATACAATTTGGGGTGACCGCGACTGACGAAAACGCGATTTTAACTTGTCTTGGTCACACATACATACACGTACACGTGGAACGTACCTTGCCGTTTGAGTGTCGCTTGTAAAGTGGAAATGGGTGACACTTTGATATTCGAGGTGTTGAGGGAGATACTGGAATGACGTTAGGTGTCGTTCAAGTATTACGTGAGCACTATGGGGGGGGGGCGGGGGGGTCTTTGCTTTGCTTATTTTGGATGACTTGGGGGGTAGAGGAGTCTAGATGATGATTACGTCATCGGTAGTTATTTACTTTTTTACACGAATGGCAACCCTCACATTGTCTTTGCTTGAAAACGAAACGCATTTTCGGGGATTCCCGCAAATAATGCATACGTTTAGTGAACAGCGCGCGGCAATTCCCCTACTCGCTTTAGAACCGAGTAGGGGAATTACCGCGCGGTGTTCACTTGTCTAAATTTCCTCGTATCAGTGTATTCTTTCGTTTGGAAACTAAAGCGAGTAGTCGTATTGTAAGCATAGTAAAGCAAGTTAAGATTTGTGTTACCATCGATTCCATTAGCCAAAGTTTAATGTTTAAATAAGATGTCGTTTCACATAGACAAATCCAAGTTAGGTATACCAAAAATTGTTTGAAAGTTTTAAAAAATCTCATACAAGTACGAAAATACAAAATGTGCAAAAGTTAGTTAACGAAGTGTGGCGAAATTATAAATTACAAGCAAAATTCGACAAGAAAGTAGATATTATTGTATCTAAGAGAATCGAAGAAGAATTGCAAGCGGCGACTAAGAATAAATCCAATCTACTAAATTTTTTTTTCTAAGGTGAGTGACGAACTCATTTTAGGTACCTATGAGTACTAGAAACATTAGAAATCGCCAAAAAGTTTCTCTTTACTGATTAGAAAATATTATGGCCTATCTCAAGGTATAGAGGTAATATTCATTATATTATAAATTTATTTCTTATGATTGATTCCGTCAATTGGTCACAAAGTACAGGATGTTACTTTTATATATATATACACTAACACCCTGTATTTTGTGACCGGGACGAATTGCTCGTTTAAACATATTAGATTTAAAGCCATAGGGTTTTGTATTTACCATATATATTGCCCTACTTTGTATTTATGTAGCTTAATAAGAGAATCTTTAGCAGAAGCCATAGAAAGTTTTTATTTTTAGGCAACCTGTGAACCTGCAGAAAAAACACAAATTATACAGTCAGCTTCAAATATTAAAAAAGAGGAAGAAGATAAAATAAAACCCGGTAATGAATCACAACAGCAATGCGAAATTAATGAAAATACAGATAAACAGAGAGCAAAACCTTCTCAGGAAGAGATACTATGCCAAGCCATGCTGAAGTTGATAAACAGATCATTAAGTTGCGCGAGGAAATAAAAACAGCAAAAGTGTCTTTAAACAGGAAGGTTCAAAACGCAGTTGCCCAGAAGAAACACAGGGATGGTATGAAAAGCAAGTTAGAAGATATTTGTCATGAAAATCCATAAATAAAAAAAGGGATTCGGTGGGACGTCCTAATCTTGAAAGCAATCAACATTCACTATTGAAAACAATCGCGGATATAGCTTTATTTGCGAGTGCAGCAGATGATAGAAGACGGACGGAATCAATTCGCAGAGTAAAAACTCTTGATGATCTCGCACAAGAATTATGTAAAATAGGATTTGAAATTAGTCGCAGTGGGACATATCTTCGTTTGATTCCCAGAAAATCTAATTCTGCGGAGGGACGAAGACATGTATCGACAGTCCCTGTTAAGCTCATTCGGGCTCAAACTGATCACCACAAGAGCCACTTAGATAGCAAATTCACTGAAACATCAATCCATTATTTAGAGAACATAGCAGCCATACTTGGACCAGGTCAAGTATTTTTCATATCTCAAGATGATAAAGCTTGAGTCCCTATTAGCGTAACTGCGGCAAATAAGCAAGCACCTCTTCTAATGCACATAGAATATAGAATCAAATTACCTGATTACGATTGGGTAATCGCTGAGCGTCATAAATTAATACCATCTGTCTATGCTGGTATCAAAATCACTTCCAATATGCTAGGACAACCGCAAGCCGTTGGATATTCTGGACCAACATACATCGCTATTCGAAGTGGAAAGCATTGTTCATCTACTGCTGATACTCATGCTCAGGATTTCGAGACGCTTCTCGAACTTGAAGAGTTTCGACTATTAGCTAAAACTGACCATGGACTAGTAAAACCAGTGGTAATCATGACGGTTGATGGAGGGCCAGATGAAAATCCACGTCATCAAAAAGTCATAGGGTTTGCTATACAACACTTTAAGCGACGTGATCTCGGTGCATTGTTTTTAGCTACCAATGCTCCTGGAACAAGTGCGTATAACAGAGTAGAGCGCAGAATGGCTCCTCTTAGTCGGGAACTGGCTGGTTTAATATTGCCTCATTTTGGTCTCATTTGGTTGAACGTGGGGTTACAATTGATGAACATTTAGAAAGATCTAATTTCGAATTTGCAGGAAATGTATTAGCTGAAGTATGGAGTTCAATGGAAATTGATGGCAATAATGTTAATGCAAAATATGGTGGGGCAGGTGAACAAGATCTTCCTGATTTTCCAGACATTAAATGGTATTTAGAACATGTGCGTGAATACAGAATGCTGTCATCCAAGAAATGGTCTATTTAGATTACCAGACAATAGGTTTCTTCCATCACCTGTAAAAGAAAAACAAACAGTTGATGACTTGGTTTTGGATGAAGGAGGGCAATTTCTTAATCTTCCAGTCAATTTAGCTCTACGATTAAGTGCTTCACTCAAAGATTTCCTGCAAATGCCCTACGATTATTTTTTTCCGACTGTGAAATTGAGGCTATCAAGTCGAACATGCAAAACGTGTGGTCTTTATCATGCTTCCGTCAAGTCACTAAATCGTCACATCGAAAATATCCATAAAAAAGTAAACACGCACACTGATAGGAAAGTTAGACCTGTAAGAGTCGCTACTCGTCGTGCTAATGAACTGATGTGCATTATTCAAAATTTAGAGCATCATGATGTTAAATGGCTCGATGAGAACGACATAGACTTTCCAAAATCCAACATCTTTTTTAATATATCTGCTCTTAGTGTTTGCACCTCATTCTTAGCATGTTGAAAAGAATCATTATGTGGCCATGAAGTTGGATAATCGTCGAGAAAACTGTCATCAATTTTGAGTCGACTGAACAAGGACTTGCTGCATTAGTACAAGTTACAAGTAACCCATTTGTAATTATTGCTTTTTATGTAATAGTGCCACAAATGATTAAATTACTGAGATTAAAACGTTGCTGCAGAATTGGAAGGTAAATCCATTACTTGGTTTGTTAAACATTCTATAGCAAAGCTGGTAAACACACGCTTGGTATATAAGCTGAGTACAGTCCGCGTATAGTCCGATTCTTTTGCTGCTAGGCAAGTTGCGTGCGATTGTTCGGCCGGCGATTCGGGATAAATTTTATCTTTGCATACACGCTTGAATAAGGATTTGAGTATCTACCTCTGGAAAAGTGAAATTCTAGCTGCATCCTTGTGAATGTACAAGGTGTTGATGTCTTGCCTTACAAGTAGCGTTTTGACATGCTTTTGGCCAATTGATGGACAAGCCGAATTAAAAGGAACGTAAGGTAATTGATAGAAAGGGATGCCCGAAAAAGTTCACTATCTAATTATCTCATGTAGCATCGGCCCTCTGTACCAGTTTCACGTAGATTCCATCGTTCAAACTGGAAGGTAAATTCTATTCGGGACATTTTAATCACATTAATAGCCAGAAGGTCGTTAGTTTTGAAGTTTCATAGAGACGTGGCTGAGGTTGTGTTTTGAAAGGATATTAAGTTAATAACGCCGCTACGGGTATCCGACTAGATTTTGCCAGTACATCAGCGGACTGGGCGAGATTTTCCTGAATAATCTTCCACAGTCGGCCTTTTTAATCCTTCTCTACTAACCTGGTTGCCAACATGGGGCGTTGATATGCCCCAGGAACTTGCGGCATAAATTGTTATGTTTTTTCGTGCAGTGAGTCTGGGATCCGGTCGTGTGAATTCCATCTACAGGGTGACGCATCGAAAAGAAAACAGACGCATTTACTGGCGGCTAAGTTTTTTTTTTTGGAAAAACGCTCACCGTCGATTTTGTTTTCGAGGGGGACACAAGTTTGGCAAAAAATCACGTTAACACGTGCAGCCCTCTGGGCGGGGGTGACATCAACCCTTAAATCTTAAATGGAAAGAGGGGTCGAGTGATAACTTATTTTAAAGGTCTTTCAATTCCCTTTACAATGATGTAAAATACGTGAGCTTCAGTTCAGTAGTTTTGAAGATTTATTGATTTAAAGCTTAAAGTAGATTTTATTAGGTAAATCAGATTAGTTTGTACTATTTTCAGAAGAAATTTGGCTAAAAGAATTTACTTAATAAGTAAATGCTTTTCTTCACTACGCCCATGGTTTGTTTATCATTTTGTTGTTGAAGATAACTATTGGAGCGTTTTTTTGTGGCAAAAAAGTTAATTCTTGAAGAAACATAAGAAGGAAACATTTTGTACTCATTTTAAATAGGAATTTAGTACATAGTTTGCGATTGGTTTGACAAACCGTTACTTTTGGGCTGTGCAGCGGTCTTTCGTGTAACTGTTGCGGATTTTCATTAGCCCAATGCGGACAATTCTGCTGGTTAACAATGCTGTTTAGGTGAAAGTGGGCTTCGTCACACATAAACAAAATGAGGTTTTCATTTTGATCGATCAGTGCTTCGATCTCACGTGCGAAGTTCATTCGTTGTGCATAATCTCCGGGCTGTAACTGTTGCACAATGGCCAATTTGTAGGGGTGAAAGCGGAGTTCCATATGCAAAATTCGCCTTACCGAACGATCACTAAGGTGAAGTGCAGCAGCGTGTTTCCGGGCAGATCAAGTCGGACTGCAAAGAAAGACCTTTCGAACGCGTTCAACATTTTCAGGAGTTCGAACCGTTCGCGGCGCTCCTTTTGGTCTTTTGTTGATCAGTTCACCACGCCTGCGAAGTGATTCAACCCAACGAAGGATGGTGTTTCGAGAGGGAACAGCTTTATTCCGATGAATATTGAAGTGGCTGTACGACGATGACTGACTCATTATTTCGGACGAAACAATCATAGGCGAAAACGCGATGCTCCACCGTACAAGGCTCCATAACGACAACTGGTAAAATACTGCTAGGTTCTGACGAGTCAAACGGCACCCTCCCCACCTCTCTCGTAGAGGGTGGCGGAGAGTACCACCCATCCCAAAAACGTCCGCCCTCTCTGCCGCACCCTGTACAAAGAAGATAATACCGTGATGAGGTTTTAGCCATTTCTGTCTCTCTATCTGCCATCCGTCGTGGGACAAGGCGACTACGAAGACTGCAGAGCGCTGAGGGCTGCAGGGGGTTAAGGGCGAGATCGAGCGTGGTGGCATGAATCAGTCGATACGTCATCATGGCAATCACACCCCAAGCGCCAATCATTCGACGTCGTTCGTCGCCGTCGAGCGTTCAGCTCGAAATTGAAAAAGCGCTAGTCACGTCTGCAATAAACCGGAGCCAGCGGCCCATGCGTCGAGTGCGTTTATCACCAGATCTATCCGCCTCCTCTTCCCTCTTCTAACGCTTCTACTGCCGGAATTCCCGACACACATGCACGGTTGCCAAATATTGGGACAAGCATCAATGAGCGGGTTGTTGTTTCGTTCAGTATTTGTGTAGCATGTCCTAATGACGTACGCCTAAGCTAGTCGAAAAAGTGGTATCCCATCACGATTTGATAATCGAAGATAGTCAACCCTATACTGCATTCCATAGTCCAGAAGGGAATTTGGAAGGCACTAGCGTCATCTGTGAGACAGTAGCTGAACGAATTTGGTATCTGTAGTTGGAATTATTATTAATGTCCAAAGATACCCAATTAGGGAGGTCAACATGGGCCTGGAGATTCTAGCGCCATCTTTTTTTTTTTTTTTTATATCGAAACAGCCGCGCAGGCAGAAGCCTAAATGCCGGAACACCGCGGCTGCTATGATGATCCCAAAGAAATTTTGTTAATACGATTTTTGAACTGCCTAAGGTTAGTAGAACTGGGAAAAGCTTCCTCCCGTAGTTTGTTCCACAATCTAGACACCCTCGGGATAAAGGAGCGGTCGTATCGGCCAGTTCTGGATGTACGAAGTTTGACACGGTTAGGATGGGACGCCGAAGTCAGGCGGGTCTGTCTGGCAGGCACATCGCGCGGCGGCATCATGGAAGAGAGCTCTGAGGAGCAAAGCCCGTTGGTGTAGCGATAGAAAAGAGCTAGATCGCCGACGGCCCGCCGGTGCGAAAGAGTCCCGAGACTGTCTGTTATAGAAGAGTCATCGATCAGTCGGACCGCCCTCCTCTGGACAGCATCGAGCATGGACAATGTAGTCGGGGCGGCAGCACCCCAAATGTGTGAGCAATACTCGAGGCTAGGCCTTATCTGGGCCTTGTATAGAGTGAGAAGGTCATGCGGAGAAAAGTACTTCTTAGCCCTAAACAAATAGCCTAGCTTTTTCCCAGCAGCTGCAGCTATTGAAGAGATGTGTTCGTGCCAGATCAGGTCCTCGGTGATCTGGACTCCGACCAACCGAAATGAATGGCTCTTTGGTAGAACTCGACCGTCCATCGAAACTGTATGAGCGCTAAGACGCTTTTTGTTCGTCAAAGTACAGTACTGTGTTTTGGAAGCGTTGAACTGTACAAGATTGTTGCGTCCCCAAGCAGTGATAGCCTCCAGGTCTCTTGTCAGAGAAGAAGTCGTCGCTAGTCTTCTTTTTTCCAGCTCAACGGCAGAGATCGGCTTGTCACTCTGAATTCCTGCATGTAGAGTGCTGTCATCAGCGAAGCTGTGGATTGGGTTGATCGTGCAGGAAAGGAGGTCGTTGATATGTAAGAGAAACAGTGTTGGAGCCAAGACCGATCCCTGGGGAACACCCGCGTTGACGTTGTGGGATGAAGAGGAGAATCCGTCAATTACGACGGATATCTTGCGGCCAGAGATAAAGTCAGCCACCCATCTGCAAAGCTTTTCTGGGAGGCCGTAGGATGGAAGTTTGCTCAAGAGGGCAGCGTGCCACAGCTGATCGAACGCTTTCGTGATGTCAAGAGCAACGACATGAGCCTCACCATGAGACTGGATGAGTTTACTCCACAGTTGCGTGACGTAAGCTAGGAGGTCCCCTGTGGATCGTTGGTGCCAGAAACCGTACTGCCTGTCGCTAATCAAGCTGTGACGTTCGAGGTAGTCCAGAAGCTCGCGATTTATACACCTCTCCATTACTTTACTTATAACAGAAAGCAGAGCTATAGGCCTGTAGTTGTAAGGGTCGGTTTTAGATCCTTTTTTTAGGATGGGCTGTACATGAGCAAATTTCCAGTTTTCTGGGAAGGTGCCGGATTCATAAGATATCTGGAAGAGACGCGAAAGAACTGGAGCAAGCTCAGCTGCACATCTCTTCAGTACAATGGCAGGAATCAAGTCCGGACCAGAAGCTTTGTTGATATCGAGCGACAAGAGCACTCGTCTTACGGTCTTATGCCTGAATGTTACCTCCCGCATAGTGTGGGGAACCCTTTGAATTGACGGCACTTGGGCGTTGGTGGGGACGTCCATGGTGGAGTTGGCAGCAAAGATCATGGCT